CTGTCCGCCTCGCTATCGTAGTGCAGTCGTGTGGTCCCAAGCTCATGGCTTTATAAGGTTTACAGTTCAGGGTCAAGGTCAAGGTTAAGGACTTCGGGTTGGTGCCGTTGAGGTGTCAAGCTGTCATGGCTGGGGATGGACTCCTCGAAAAACGCATCCGGCCGTGAAGGGGCTTGGAGGACGCATGACTGAAACCCACTCCCTCGAAGCAGTTTGGAGACACACTTCTTGTCCAGATTGAATCCCTTCTGTTTCGATTAAGCTGGATTCAAGATGCAAGGACTTGCTGTTTATGGGGTTCTGTGGTGTGCTCTTCGGAAATCTGCGGAGCAAAGGGAGGACTGGGGGTTGTGCAGGTTCGCAAGCCCCTGGGCCCCGACGCCCTTTTCGGAACCCTTGTAGAAGCCCTTCAAGGAGCCAAGCGACTGTCCGATCCAGTTACCATGACCCTAACATTCTGTCAAGAGGTTTTTTTTTCTTGCCTCCAGGGCATGCTTGGCTTCACGGCTGATGTTTGCAAGTCCCTGTGAGGGAGATGGGGGGTGAAAAAGAGCGAGGTCAGATAGACAACGATTCAGATATGCAGGGCATATTGAGCCTGTAAAGCCTCCAGGAGAGTGCAGCAACAGTCTCTGACAAGAAGAGGCAGCACCAGCACCAAAAGCAAACATTTCCCAAGGCCTTGGACAAGCTCCTTGAAGCAGATTGGCCGGCCGTTTGCCGAACTCTGAAGGAATTAGCGAGGTGCGAACTGGGCCAGGAAGCGAAGTAATCATCACAGGGAGAATGGACGAGTAGTCTGTGCCCTTTCTTCGTGTTGGTAGGCATGACTCGAGCATTGTATGGCAGCAACCGCGCCATAGTTCTGGTGCTCGCGGTTTTACAGCGATGATCGTAGCGTAGTATGGCTGGTTGAGGAGAGCTGTTCCCGAACATATGTTTGCCATTGATGCTTGGGTTCAAAGACCAACAACTTCTATCTCCTAGTGTCCCCCAAACCCCCTCCGAAATCACAATCCCGAAATTACACACTCGAGAAGCGAAAACAGGAAACCATAGGTCATACTGTTGATGCCCAAAAACCGGCATGAGCCACATCATCGCATGCATCTTATGTCGGGCTGTCCACTTCCCCGCAACCGTTTGATTTCAATGTTGCATCCCCATGGGGTCATGCAAGATTGTGGGGAGGTTCAAAGTGATGCAGGGTTTAGGGCATCAACCATAGGATAATCGTAAAGCAATTCATTCAGGCAAGCACCGTTTAAAATAGATGTGCTGGTCAAGAAGGTGTTGAGCAAGTTTGGTGGGTAGGGAGTGTGCTTACCATTACGACGACGACTACCACTACTACTCCTGCTGCTGCTGCTACTACTCCTGCTCCTGGTACTAATCCTGCTACGGCCACCACGTCGACTACTCCTGCCAGTGCCAAACTCCCTCACTAACCGACACCTACCTATCCACCTACCTACCTAACTCTGCCCTGCTTCGTGTACTCAGCCATGCAGGAGGCAAAAAACACTAACAAACTACCTATGTAGCTAAGCCAGCTTGCTGACTAACTACCAAACTAACTAGCTAGCTAATCAACCAAACCAACTTGCTGGCAAGCTTAACTGGCTTGGGATTCTACTGCTGCTTGTACTGCTGCTATGGTCACTGCTGCTACTACGAGCTCCTGCTGCAGAATTGCTTGCAGCAGAGTCCTGCAGCAGGCCGACGACACTGCGTCCTGACCCTAGTTGCTCTGAAAGTCTGGGGTGGAGTGCGCCCGCGACAACCACAAACATCTCGACACAGTTGTTGCGCACCTGTACGTTTTTTTTGCTTCGTGAGCTAAGCCTTCAAGTCTTGATCGTGGATGGGTGCTTGTAAATTGTATCCACCGACAACGACAAAGGGCTTCCCTACAGCGGCAACATTGGAGACGGCCACGCGTGCCAAGCTTCGTGGTTGCTGTTCGCAGGCTCGGAATTAGGCATAACGTGGAGTTTGGGATATGAGTTGAACGATTACGCTGCAGCGTCCAGTTGGTTCAACGTATCAGGGCAAGAGTCTCTACCGACTGATTCTGCTGACGCAACGAGACCGGGTTTTCTGAAACCGCTTTGCCAAGGTGCAGCTGCAGAGCTTGTTCGCGAATGTGTAGGAAGCCCAGGCTACCTCGAAGCGAGGGACCATGGTTGTAATCGGGCGGTTCGGTCGATACCGATACGCATGCGGTTTAGCAGTATATGTATTGCCAGTATTGCGGAGTCTCGGTCCGGTTCGGTAGCGATGCGCAATACCGAAAACCCACCAGACCAGCCACACCAGCCAGTAGCCCAGCCACACCTATTCTCCTACCAGCTCCAGTCAGCCAGCCACCGTCCCACCCTCCAGCCACCTGCAGCCACGCCCCTCCAGCCGCCCTCCAACTGCCTCCAGCCACCTACCTCCAGCCAACCACTCCTCGACAGCCAGCTACCTCCAACCACCTGCCTCAAGCCACCTGCCGCCAGCCACCTGTGAGGGTGACTTGAGAGCTGGTGGCTGGTGGAGGGTTGCATGTTACTCAACAAGCATAGCAGGAGGCTCGTCCTGTAGTTGGTAAATTCAGCGACGTGTATTTCCCAGATTCTGCATATCTGGGAGTATAGGCACAGCTGCGATATCTCTGCCGCGTATGCAAACTCAGTCTGCGCAATGGATGGCGGCTAATCGGCTGTTAAGCCAGCAACGCAAGTTCGTGGAACTCGAGACATGTGCGCCGCGAAGCATAGCTAATGGAGCGAGCCACCGCATGAGGTCGCTCACTATTGCTTGTGGATTGCGTGCTAGACTGTTATCAAGCCCTTCCCCTTAGTCAGGTGCCCGGAGGAATGCCAGCCAACATAGTACGCTGTCGTTGTATACTTTTGGCGTTCTTCTGGTTGGCTCTTAGGACTTTAACTTTTTGGATTTCTATATAACTACGATAAGGAGGCTAAAAGTTTAATTTGTAGGAGGGGTTCAGAAGTCAGCCAAGTACTAGCATACTAATGCATGTTTCATAGTACGGTGCATCGCAGGACTATCAACCATGCAGTCTGTGCATCCTGCTACATCTCTCGTTTCGCGTAAGGTCACAGAGTAGTGTTCGATTTTCAAGAATGTTATTCGTTGGTTTATGGATCACAGCATCTTGTTGTAGGTCAAGAATGCCAGCCAACACAGAAGGGTTCAATATATGTGCGATAGTACATCCAGGAGATGCAGCCATTTCCTAAGAATCGTCGGTTTTACAGCATCTCTCTATCTGCCTATCTATCATCTATATATCTATCTCTCTCTCTCTCTCTGTGTCTATCTCTCTCTCTCTCTCTCTCTCTCTGTGTTGATCTGCCTATCGATCTGTCCATCGCTCGGTCTACCTTTGGTTTGTCGACCTATCCATGTATCTGTCTACATCTGTATATATATATATATATATTTATTTATACATACATATTCATATACATATGCATACACATATGCATACACATGTACATATGCATATACATATACCTATACCTATACATACACATATACATATACATATACATATACATATACATATACATATACATATACATATACATATACATACACACATGTGTCTACATATCTGTCTGTCTATGTATGTGTTTGTCTAAATGTCTGCGTATCTGTCGATCTATCGGTCGATGTATCTATCCGTTGATCTTTATGGGTGTGTGTATATCTATCTATATATATATATATACACACACATATTTATACATATCTTTACACGCTCTATACATGCATGTGTATGTACATTGAGGTACCAAATCAAAACTGAAGCCAATTCTGCCCCAGAACATCCTAGCATGCAAACCGTATACATGTATACACGTGTTGTCATCACATGTTTATGTTACGTGTACAAACACTTTTGGCAAAGGGTTGTGTGTAGAAAAGCAGTATTAATGTAGACATATCACATGTGTATGCAATTTCTGTATACGTATACAGACATAGAGAAAGATATGGATGTGCGGTGGAACTGTTCCAAGAATGAAAAAATCGTCTATACATACAGACGACATACGTGTCACACGTGGTTTGATTTTGCAACATCGTAATTAGTTAGATTCTTGTCGTAAGCGCGTGGCTTATACTATATATATATATATATATATATATATACACATACATATACATATACATATCAGGATGCAGCGTTGCGCAGTACTCGTCATAGAGGTGGATAGCGTCCGGTACCATCTTCATCGCCGCTCCTCCCAGGTGCGTGCGATTCAGCCAGACGCAGCCTCAAGCAACGGCGAATTTGGGGCTGGGTGGCTGGTATCCCGATATGGTGAGGGTTTACAGTCCCCAGCTTGTAGAACTGCAATTATGACCCTTGAACCTTGACTCTAAACTTCAGAGTTAATTACGATTCAAGGGCCATCATTGCAGATCTACGAAGCTGGGGACTTCCCTCCAGTTTGTCTTGCCATGATCGTTCAAGCTCTACATCGTGTTGTCCGGCAACTTCTGTGGGCTCTCCATTTCTGCCTGCATGATACGTCTCCTTTCGAAATGCTAGATCCGCGAAACCATGTCCGCCTTCTTGCCAACATGTGCCCTTTCAGAGTGCTTATGACTGGAAGTAGCACCAAGTTGAGGCTGTGTGGCGGGGTTTGAGCCTTGGAACTGCAGCAAGCACCCGAAAACCCTGCTGCCTCGGATTGTCCATTCCATGACTATTGATATTGGCTGTAGGGATGGGTTTACAGGTTTTTGGGTCGGCAGATGAAGCAAGCAAGCGTGACTTCGGCACATGGGCTCGCCATCTTGTGTTGCGCATTTAGCTTGCGTGATTCATTTTTGCTCGGATGGCCAATTAGCACGGAGCTAAGAACGCTTCGGGTTCGCATTGCCAAATTTTCTGTGCCAGGGGAAACAACAAACAAGCTTTCCAGTGGCTACGGTAATCGCTGTGTTTTCAACATCGCTTCGTGCCAGGACTAGAAATGCAGACTTCCTCGACACTCGAACGACTCACCTCCACAATGCATGTTGCAAAGGTCTTCGTCACAGCAGCCACGCCGGATGGCTTCGTGTACCACCGAAGCGTCAGCGACATGTTCCGCCCCCAGCCAGATTCAAGCATGAATTCAGCTACCGTCCTTGAGACTGAGTTTTCGGCACTGGGATTCTCAAATCTCGTGCGCTGCCTGTGCCTGAATCCCACCTCTTCATGCGGATATCCTGCTGAATGATAGCTCCTATAACAGCAAGTACATCACACTGCGATCTGACGTTCAGGACTTGGTCTTGCCTAGGGAATCTGGGAATGTGCGCACCTCCTTTCCCCCTTCTGCATGCTGCGCCTCTTCCATACGGTGTTTTGCTCGTTGTCGTCCTTTCGGGCACCACAGTGATTCGTTGTTGTCGATGTGCTATGCAACCACGGCAGCAACAGCAGCATAACGGCTCTCACTAGCAGCAGGAGCTGAGACCAGCACTGCTTTAGCTTCATGGCCGTCAGGATGTTCTCGTTTTAGTACGACGAGTATTGGCAGAATGCAAGATTTCGGAATAGGGAGGTCGCCCACGCAGTCTCGAGTAGTAGACCCTCTGCAATTTTTGGAGTCAAACATCAGAGCACAGATGAAACCCTGATAACAAGACTCAAGAACTAAAGATAGTTACTGGTAATCTGTATAACTATACAATAAAGAGATAGAAATCTAAGTATATGTGTATATGCATATATATATATATATATATATATATATATATATATATATATATATATATACATGTCTTGTCAGGTCATCGGGGCCCCTTGATGCCGACCTTAGCTCCGGTGTGTCACGGCCCAGCCCAAAGCAGGCCGGGTGCCTGAGGTTCCCAGTCTCAGGCAATACAGGGGCCTTTAGAACAATAATAATGGGTTTAGGGTTTAGGGTTTAGGTGTAAAAGGGTTTAGGGTTATGAACAGTATGAATAATATAATATATAGGGGCTTTCATAATTAAGAATTTCTGCTAGATTTTTTTTTGGGGGGGGTCCTTAGCATATCATAAACCCCAAGTAACCCTATTCTATATAATTCATTTTTGTGATTATGGCGACTGCGCCCGTCCGAACTTTCGCACTCCACTTGCCTTCCGGACATGGTCGCAGTGGCTTCTGTTGCCCTAGGGCTCCAGTTACCTAAATAGCAGGTTACTGGAGTATATAATATATGGTTAGAAACCTACTATTCAGGTAACTGGAGCCCTAGGGCGTTGTGTTCGTAATTCCAGAACTGGGAGTTTCCGAAAATTAGGGGTACCTTACTTTGGGGGTCCTTATAATAAGGATCCTACTATTCGGGGTACTACATTAGGGTCCCTATTTTCGGAAACCCCCAACTGGTGTGTTCTGCATTACCTCCACTTTATTGCAGAGGTCTGGCCTCGGGGTGTGCATAGAAGTTGTTGGACATCCCAGCACAAACGTTCAAGTTACTACTGCAGGCTGCCATGATAATCGCAAGGTCACCCGTTTAGTGATATGGCGTCGAAGCGGCACATGCTCTTTTTCTGTGACCCCCGCGAGCCCTAGAATGACTGACAAAACGTGAATTGTTAACTGAATGCAAAAGCTACTTCTGACCTCAGACACTTCATGCAGCTCAACTTTCAGCTGTCTCGGACCCCAAAACACCCAAGCCAGAACCCTCAAAGTCACTAGCCGCACTAGCCTCTCGGTGCTTCCCTGAAGCCACTTGGACGAGAATACGTGACGCAAGCAACTAGACAGCAACAGTGGCACCGAGGGAGACTAGCAATGTTCCCTTCTTCAGGTTCTTGACCTCGTCCTCCTGCCTCTTTGCAGAGAGTTTGGAGTGCCACTGCCCGAGCCTCAGCACGTCTGTCGCGATCAGGGCCTCTCTTACTAAGGTTCAAAAGCTCGCTTTTCCACCGTATCGTTTAAACTGGCCGATTCATTTCAACCTTGTTGTTCGGAAAAGGTGGAGAACAAATAGCACTAGTTCCCATCATATCTTCTTGATAAGGTTCAACATCTTTCCACCGAGCCGGCTTCTTTCAAGCCGGCTAATTCGATTAAATTTGAAATGGCCTGTTCCAATTTATCTGTTTTTACGGCTGGGCGATGTAAAGGCCGGAATCATTTAAATGTAAGACGGCCGGTTGAATTAAAGCGGCCATTTTGCACCTTATCATTCTAATCCCCCCGGGCCTGGAATTTAACCGGCCCGCCCGGTTTAACAGCCGAAACCGATTAAATTTAACCGGCCCGAGCCGGCTGGCCGATTATGTTTAACGTGGCGGAACGCGATTCAATTTGACCGGCCGGGCGGTTAAAAATGCCGAGAATCGATGAGATGAAGCCGACTGAGCGGTTTGAGGACCAGGATTTTGGTGGTTTGCTGTCAGCTCCTTCTGCCAGGCACGGGTTCGAAGCTTCTTAACTTTAACATTATGATCTGTGTCCCTTTCTTAACTTTATCTTTGTGGTGCTTCCTCAGCTCACCTTCCGGGGAGGCGCAAGAAGTCCAAAGGCCTGTTGACCCGCCACTGGAGCATATCAGGCCTTTGGGGAAAAACAGCGGCAGAGAAAAGGGCAATTGCGGAACCCGGAGATTTCCGGAAGTTGGCTTGCCAAATATGCGTGCTGTGAGGATCGTGGCTATAGTCCAGATACTTGCTTCTTTGCTGCCGTTGGTTGTGTTGTTTCCACCGGCACTGCTGATTTTAGTGTTGTTTCTCTTGTCTTCTTGCTCTTGCTGCTTCTGCTGTTGCTGTTGCTGTTGCTGTGGCTGTGGCTGTTGCTGTTGCTGTTGCATTGCTGCTGCTGTTGTGGTTGTTGCTGTCGCTGTGACTGTTAGTCTTGGTCTTGGTCTTGACTTATGAGAATCTTTGGGCCATGGTCTGGATCAGCGTTTGGAATTTTGTTTTGCATGTGTTTCGCATCTTTTTGCCAGTTGAACGCACGCAACAAATGCGAAAAACTATGCAACACCAAAAGTGCGTATTGGAGTTTGTAATGTTTTGGGGTGGGCCTGTAGCGCGCTAAGATTCTGCTAAGTCTTGTTGTTGTTGTTGTTGTTGTTGCAATTGATGTTATTGTCGGCGTTGCTGTTTCTGCCGGTGCTTTTGCCATCTTTTGCCGTTGCTGCTGCTGCTGCTGCTGCCGCTGTCGCCGTTGCTGTTGTTGTTGTTGCTGCTGCTGCTGTTGCTGCTGCGGTTTCAGCAGTTGCTACTGAGCAGTTGATGCTGTCGCTGCTGCTGCTATTGGTGCTGCTGCTGTTGCTGCTGCTGCTGTTGCTGCTGCTGCTGCTGTTGCTGCTGTTGCTTCTGCTGCTGCTTCTGCTGCTGCTGCTGCTGCTGTTGCCGTTGCTGTTGCCGGCAGTATTGGTAGTAGTTGGTGTTATTGCTGGCACAGATGGTTCTTTTGTTCTTGGCGTGTTTGGTCTTCTTGCTGTTCTGGCTGTGGTTGTTGCTCTTATTCTTCCTTTTGCATTTATTATTATTCTTGTCGTTGTGGTTCGTGGATGTGGGTGCAGGTGCCGATGCCCGTGAAACTCGTCGTATAGACCCTGAACCCTAAACTCTTGTGAATCCTAAACCTTGGGTCTTGCCCCCACTCAGCAGCAGTAATAACAGCCCTATGAGCCCTATGATCGACTGTTGCTGTATGGGGGGCAGTACCCTAAACCTTAAACCCCTAAACCCTGAGCGTCGAAAACCCTTAAACCCTTTAAACATACCCTTACAAATCCCTTGTAGTAACCCTTATTGGAACCCTTAAAGGAATTCTAAACGGTAAACCGTAGAAGGGGCCCCCACCCTGTAATAGTGGTATATCAGGTATATAGTGGGGCCCTATATATAGTCCTTATAGTCACTATTACAGGGTGGGGGCCCCTTCTAATACAGAACTAGGATGCCCAGAAACCTAGGAATAACAAGGGATCCCTTTTTGGTATTGGGTAGCTTTAAAAGGAGCCTAAGACTGCAAAACGGGAATTCTAAACGGTAAACCCTAAACCCTTTATAGAACCCTTACAGATCTCTTTAAGGAACCCTTATAGATCCCTTACAGGTACCCCTAGTCCCAACCGCAGAGCTTGCTGGGAGCCTCGGGAGCTTGGCCTCTTTGAGGTCGCTGCGCATGGGGACTGCCCGGGCTGCATGGGGACCCAGAGATAGGATAGGATAGCTAGGCACAGATTGTGCACTAGAATATAGATGTATACTTATTCACTTGTAGTTACAGTTACATAATTACGTCTCTATTTATGAAATATATTTGCATTCATATTATGGCCAGTGTTTCGCGCAAGGTTGGCCGTGTCCAATGGGGTATTTAGGCATTTCAAGTGTGCTTTGACAACATTTTGTGAGTTTCTGAAGTTCAAGCATGACATGTCCTGTTGTTGAGATATGCAGTCTGATTTTGGAGGGCTCGCCCAAGCTAGGAGAACAGGTTGCGCGCATAATTTTTGAGTGGTAAAGGCTGCTGGTTCTCTTGAGGGTTTAGGGTTGAGCTTTTTCTATCAACTTGCACATATTTGGGACAGGGTCAGTGCCTATTGTGACAGCATCTCCCAACATCGAATTGACAGGCCCCCGCTGCCGGTTTATAAGAACTTGAGATGTTCCAATGTATTTTTCAACAGCAGCCGTGGCAGTTTATGTTGGCATTCCGGTTGGCATCCATAGTTCAAGAAAGCCAAATCAAACCAATCAAGGCATTAAGACATGCGGGTTCTCAGTACTTGGTCTTTTTGGAGAGACCCTGAGTCAGAAGAATGCATTGAAACTCTCCCGCCGGAAGAGTTCCGACATGTGGGCAGGGAGTCAGGGCTGGGCTGGTTCGTGACGGCAGTTGTTCTTTGGGTAGAGGTCCGTTTATGCAGGTTTTCTTCTGGCAGGGCCGGCACATGTTGCAGAATATTTGTCAAGAAATGGAGAGACACTTGGCTAAGCTTTGCTCCTCGTGCGCGAGTGCACAGCCACATATCAAAGTTGTTGTAGCGTGCATGCATGCGTAGCAGACAAGCGGGCCACCCATGTTTGCACATCGCCGAATTCCACAGCCTTGCATGCATGATGCTGGTCAAACCACCAAAGCCACATCAGCAACAGCGAGCCGAGGCATCATGATCACCACCTCGTCACACATGTTTTTGAATCGCGGGCAGTTGCCAGCTTCGTCCTCGCATCATGACCACCATCACCAGTGTGTGTCGTCGGAATCGCATTCGTCCAAATACCATCCCCACTGAAAATGATTCTGAAAGCCAGCGGGTGCAACCGCACTCTAAGAGGCTGATATTTCCCAAGTTTCGAGGTCGCTCCGTCTCTGGGCCTTGCCGGCGATGGTGCCGCAGCCCCCAGTGGTCATGGGTGCTTCCGTTACCTGAAGGTGTATAGTCAGACCTGACTGTTAAAACTGGCTCCTAGGCTAATGCGGCTTTAACTTCATAAAGCTATTGATTGCCAGATGTTACCAGCATGAGTAGGCTGTGTTTGTCGCCGTCGTCGCTGCTGCAACTTGTGCTCCTTCTTCTCCTACTTCTATGTCCATGCTACTCCTCCTCTGTCACCAGCAGATGTGGTGCTGTTGTGTTGCGTTTCAGAACCCGCTTAATTAGGGTATTTTGGGTTGAGAGCGTCTAACTTGTGCAGTTGGCCTTGGAGCTGCCGCGGGCTATTGTAGGTGGGTGAGAAACAAATTTGTGTGAGCACCCGTCGTTCGAAGTGCATCGGGGAGAATGCGCAGGTTTTGGGAGAGTTGCGGGGTTGTTGAGATTTTGGCTCCTCCACAACCCCTGAACCCTAAGTTTTAGAAGAGGCTTTTGTAGGCGCTGCAGCTTGTTTTGAGGTGGGCGCAGCCGAGCTTCGGTCATTAGGACTCGGCTGCACTGTGTCGGGAGTTCGGGCCGCTGTACTCCAAGTCATTGCTATGTTTTATTGATATTCTTCTTTTTGTGTTGCTACTATAGTTTCTATCATCGTTAGCATTATTCTACGGAGCTCGAAGATGGTGCATTTCGAGCGACCTTGGATGGTCCAAATGTCGTGCAAGGGCGGGCAGGCCGTGATTTTGAGGACATCGGCAGCATGCAAAGAAGCGTTGAACATGCAGGAATCTCCGAAATGTAGCATGTGACGGTGTAGCGCCGGGATCATAAAACTGCGCTTCGAGAGGCAAGCATGTTCCTGCGTCTTCTGTTTCGATTTCCAGAAAGAAGAGATCGCTCTTCATGAGGTTGTAGATGGTTTAAGAATCGGTTGTCTGCTATTTCTAGCCTGAGCATTCCTGGTCTTTTGGAGCCTTCCCACCGCACACATAATATGACGGATGAAGACAGCGATGAGTAGAGGAAAAGGCTGTCTTGCCTCACGTATGTACGCATGTATGTATGTGTATGTATGTATGTATGTATGTATGTATGTGTATGAATGTATGTATGTGAACATGTCCGTGGATACACACATATATATATATACATATGTACATATGTATATATATACATATGCATGTGCATATGTATATGCCTATGTACTTTTTTATGTGTATGTATATATATATATACATATAAACACATGGGTGTTGCTGATACTGTCATTTAGCTATTACTCTAGTTCTTAGAACGAGTATAGAAACTTTGTTGGCATTGTTAGGGCTTTTATTCGTATACTACTGTTAACCACTGTTTGCTGCTATTAGTACTAGTAGTATTAGTATTAGTCTTATGCTTATTATCATTAGCATCATTTTTATTGCTGATCTTCGTACTAACCACATATAGCAAGAATCAGATTAGTTAGTTCGTTTTTATTACGGGATCCTGCCTCCCTTCTGTTGCCAGGACATCTTTGCGAGGCTAACCCTCAGGTGAAGTTTCTCTTTACGGTTCTCAGCCGCACAGATCAACACGAGGCCATGAGGTTTCAAGCTTACGCAGCATTGAAAGATTTCCTGACAAATCGTATTTGGAGGTGTGCTTATGCAGACTTGGGTTCTATTGGACAGACACTGCAAGGCAAGCGTTTGGCAAGATCTTGTCTTCGGGAGTCGACTTTCAATCAGAGAAGACCTTACAACGCTTTTGTAAGCAGCATGGTGCGGGAGCGGGAAGGCAACGCAGTCGCAGTATTGCTGAGTGCTCGCGGGAAGCTAGGTCCAGGTGTCTGCAATCTCCGGGCAATCAATCAATATTGTTGAGATCTTGTTGGAAGGGTATTTCGGGTTTGGGCGCTATGGCAAGTGCCGCTATAGGCACAAAAGACTAACAGCGAGTCGTGCAACTGTTCTTTTGTAATAATATCAATCACACTCCTCCCACAGCATCTCTCTTGAAGTAGCCGTGATGTTAGAACTCCAGCGCCCCGTGTAGTCACCAGTGCCAGAAGCAACCGCTTTGGCGTTGGGCCCATCGACTGGCTTGTATGGTCGAACGAAACTTTTGGACGGTTAGGGTTGGGGTGTATAGGGTGACGGTTAGG